ACTGATCTGTTTCTCTGCGTGTCACTGAAAATCTACTATGGTACTAATGTCTTCTAGATTATTAGAGAAACGTATACAAATTAAGCCCAACTTAAAAGAGCTACAATGTAAAGGGTGTTTCAGAGACCAGAGTATGTCTCTTTAAAATGTAAAAGTCCAGCGTTTGACAGGAAAATATTTGTTTTTCTAAAAGACCTTCATTTCTAAGACCTGATATTAGTGTGTGGATACATTTATCTCCAGTTTAAGTTTTTAGAGCTGATAGGAGCTGCTGTGCTCACTGTAAGCTATAATGTGCTGCGGGTTAAAAGTAGCTTTATAATCATCTAAACGCTACGCCCCGCAGTTTCTCTGAGGTAAAATGTACCGCGATCCGGTGTGGTTAGACCTACGTGCAAACACGGGGAGCACGAAGTAAAAACAAAAAAACGGATTTTATTAAGTAAACAACGTTTTTTTAGGGGGGGGGGGAGCAACGACTTCCAAAAATAATGCAGTCGAAGACACGAGGAGGACCGAGACGTCTGACAAGTTTACAGAACAATGAGCCGACGTGGAGCGGTGAACAGGAGTGGTTTACGTAGAACTGAGGGAGAGTGGGAAATGAAAGCACCTGGGATGATTACTAATCACAAACAGGTGTGAGCGATTAGTGGCTGGACAGACTGACTGACGGGAGACTGAAGTATGGCACAGAAAAACACAGCGAGAGTCAAAACACAAGGATCAGAAGCATTTGTAATGGGGGGGGGGGGGGGGATCCTCCACCAGAAGATTTAGAATAAAGTAGACACCATTTTCTGTATTCTGGTGTATTTTAACAGGTTGTACTTGATTCAATAACTTATTTTAGAGCGCAACAAGAAATAGCCTGACCAACAGCTCCCCTTGTGTGAATAGAGCACGCTCTGCTTCTCTCAGCATCCCCCCGGTCAGCAACTGCTGACACTAACCTAGCGCTAAGCTAACGTGCAACACAGAGGTGTCTCCCCCTCCTCCTCCCGCCCCGTCAAGTGATCTAAAGGAAACACTGCATGCGGTGTGGTGAGTTGTTGTAGGTAACCAGGAAAACCCGGAGTGGACTTTTAGTGGTTTGAATATTCTCCAATTAACCAAGTGGAATGGATTTGTTCATGAAGAAATAGAAACGGCGCTGGGTGAACTAATATTTCATGGTAAATGTGTGTGTGGGGGGGTCCAAACAAATATTTTTTAAATGTGATGGGGACACGTCTCTTTCACATATAATTGTTGCGATGCCTATGATCAGAAGACAAAATTCAATTCACAAGGGGAACAGAGACAAAAGAAGCTGTAAGAAAATAACAGAAAAACACAGATTACGTCAAGAAATTTAATCTGGACTCTGAAACAGAGTTAGGTAATAAAGTTTATCAAGAGATAACTCGACACAAATCAAACTCAGATGACTCTGAGCCGTGTCAACGTCACAAATGTTACGGTTTCCATTTTTTAGCCTCTTCACTTTTTCTGCTTCTTCCATCTTTATTTCTTAACTCCTTGCAGGTATCGATAATTCCTAACTTCCGGTTGTTTTCACTCCATGAATGTGATAAATTTGTTGGCACAAAACCAAAGTTTTGATTGTTCTCCAGTCAAACTGATGAAGGCGAAAAGCAGTTGATTGATTGGCGCTTCCTGAAATTCAGCCTCGTTCTTCCAGTGTTTGAAGTTAAACCAACAAGTCTGTCTTGTCGAGCTTCTAGCTGCGTACTGACGCTGTACTTGAAATTAGGCACGGGTCTCCTTCCTGCACCTGTTTCTGTGACAAGTGTAACTGAACTGTGGTTGCACTCGATACAAGGAGCTGCCAGCAGCTTGACGTGTCTGCTCTGCCTCTCCGTCCTGCAGGCGTACCCCTCTCTGAAGCCCCTGGCAGCGTGGACCCGAGATCTCTGCCAACGAGTCGATCAGTTCGCACGCTGGGCGAGGACGACGCAGCCCCCCGTCTTGTTCTGGCTGTCCGGCTTCACCTTGCCCAACGGTTTCCTCACCGCCGTGCTGCAGTCCACGGCTCGACAGAACAAAGTGAGAACCAGCGCTTTCACGAGTCCATTTAAATAAACAAGTAATTCTCTAACTAAACACGTAAGGAAGAATCAAATCAAATAGACTGCAGCCGCCCCCTGTGGGGGTTTGTCAGTCAGCTGAACCCTCTGGCCTCTCACTCTTCTGAGCACCAACAATTAATCTCAGCCTCCTGCAGAAACGTCTCCGAGCCGACTGGTGCGAGTTCAGACCTGGAGCCGTTTGACAGATGACTCATTTCTTGTCGGCGCAGTCACAGGTTCCCACCTTTTTTATATTTAGTTTTCTGGTGACGGGTGAAAATACAGAAGACGAGAGAACGAATTCAGTTACTGAGCCAAGGGATTTTTTTTTTTCCCTAACAAGTCACATCCACTTTTTTATAAATTGCATAAGATTACATTATCAGGTTGAGTTCTAAAAGCTTCTGAGCGGAACATCAGTCGTTGGAGACAAGTTTACAGAGCGATTAGGCCAGGCGCAGGCAACATATGGCCGGAGGGCCAAAAGTGGCCCTTGGACAATCTCCATCCGGCCCCCAATATCCAGAATTTAAAAGAAAACTATTAAATAAATTGATAAAAACCTGCGTTTTATTAATGAAACTTAAGGAAGTCTAAATTAAACATTTGGATTAAGATATGTTGTCACAAAAGCCGTTTCACTGAAACTAGAGTATTAGAGACATATTTGTATTTGATCAAGCTGCTAACTTTGCTACAACGAGAAATATCCTGAATAAATCCGTAACTCCAGATTATGTTTCTAAAAAAAAAATGTTTGTTCCAATTTTCTAGGCGTCCGTTTGATTTCTTCTTGATTTGGCCCTCTGTAAAGAAACGTTGCCCCCTCATGAGTTGGGGACATTTCATTAAGATTTTATGGCAGATTCTTAAAACAATTGCTCCACATGCACTGCAGTGCACGATTTTAGACAGCATTATCATATAGAAAGGTAACAATTGAAAAGTATTGTTGTAAAACTTATTAGCTTTTCATATTTTTCCTTTGCAGTTATTAACAAATCAACTTTTTCATCTATGCAAATTAATTTTCTTCAACATAAAATAGATTGTTAAAAATGTGATTTACGACTTTTTTTTTTTTAAGTTTGCCGAAATAATTATTTGTTTTTTTTGTGTGTTTTGAGGCGTTATCAGAATTAAAACCAAAATGATGGATAATGGTGTTTTTAGTCACCTTTTTTCTAAACCTTCAACTTATTTTAAGGAAAGTACATAAATATATTTGTCCAACATTGACAAGAATACAAAATGTGCTTTAATTATTTAACTGTTTAACACCATAAGGGAAAATAAACTACAAAAAAAGGATGGGACTCCGAAGGGAAATGTTAAGAAAATATTGATTTGTGAATAAAAATTGAGATGTTTGTGAATATCTTCTAGCTTCTCTGGAAATAGTTTTTACTGTTCGTCCAGTAACAGTGTGTTTATTTGCAGATATCTGTCGACACTCTGTCCTGGGAGTTTATCGTGTCCACTGTTGATGACACAAACCTCCTCACCCCGCCCAAGGTGACTCTTTTTATACTTGTTTCTGTCACCATGGTGATTTCCAACCTTTTTCTCAGTCGTTTGGTGTCAGTCCGCTGCTTATCGTCCGTTTTCTGTCAATTGATTTCCAGTCAAATCGTATTAATCTCTGCATCAACCTGCCTGTGTTTTGTTTAATCTCTTTAAAACTACACATAAACTATGTCACATTTCCATTTTCTCTTTTTCTCTCAGTTGAAAGTTGCTCTTTTGTTGTTCTTCTCATACATTTCTATTTTGTTTTTGTCCTTTACCAACTCATAATTCATCTTCTCTATACGTTTATTGCCTTTCCATAAATCCTTTTTTTAACTGGCTGCTGCTGAAGGTAAAAGTCAAGTTGGCAAAATATCCTATACACCACCAGATTTTAAAGAAACTAAATAATCAATGGGCGGACAACTTACATTTAACGCATGCCACGTGTAATCCACCTGAGCCAATATAGAAATTAGTCCAATTTACAGAAACTGAGCTAAGTTTGAATATTGTCACGGACAGCAGGAGGTTTGTTACAAACAGGAGGAGCTCAAAAGATAAAAACGTACTTATTATCAAAAAATATATAAAGAAACTAACTGAATATTTAAAACTGGGCTGATGAGGAGATACCTGAGCTGAATTCAGACTGGGAACAGGAGTGAGTGGGCGTGGCTGAATTCAGACTGGGAACAGGTGTGAGTGGAAGTGGCTGAATTTAGACTGGGAACAGGTGTGAGTGTATGTAGCTGAATTCAAACTGGGAGCAAATTTGAGTAGGCGTGGACTGGAAACAGGTGTGAGTGGATGTTGCTGAATTCAGACTGGGAACAGGTGTGAGTGGGTGTTGCTGAGTTCAGACTGGAAACAGGTGTGAGTGGATGTTGCTGAATTCAGACTGGGAACAGGTGTGAGTGGGTGTTGCTGAGTTCAGACTGGGAACAGGTGTGAGTGGATGTTGCTGAATTCAGACTGGGAACAGGTGTGAGTGGGTGTTGCTGAATTCAGACAGGGATCAGGTGTGAGTGGGCGTGGCTGAGTTCAGAATGAGAACAGGTGTGAGTGGGCGTGGCTGAATTGAGACTGGAAACAGGTGTGAGTGGACGTGGCTGAGTTCAGACTGGGAACAGGTGTGAGTGGATGTGGCTGAATTTAGACTGGGAACAGGTGTGAGTGGGTGTGGATGAATTCAGACTGGGAACAGGTGTGAGTGGGCGTGGCTGACTTCAGACTGGGAACAGGTGTGAGTGGATGTGGCTGAATTCACACTAGGAAAAGGTGTGAGTGGGCGTGGCTGGATTCAGATTGGGAACAGGTTTGAGTGGGTGTGGCTGAATTCAGACTGGGAACAGGTGTAAGTGGATGTAGTTGAATTCAGACTGGGAAAAGGTGTGAGTGGGCGTGGCTGAATTCA